GGAGTTGAAGTCCACAAGTCTTAAAGTTGCCAAGGTTGACACCCCTGATCTAGAGAGTTTTGTAATGACAGATGATTTGAATCACTTGTTCTAAATAAGATATTTCAATCAATATACCCATCTTGATTTTGATTTCTAATTATTTTTTATTTCAGTTTATCCTCTAGCATGCTTTCCTTGTCTTCTGGCAGTAGTCATGGCTCCCTTGCATCCAGTAGAGGATCTCTGGTCACCTCAAGCCAGGATTCTTCAACTTCAGCCAGCTTTACAGATCTGTTTAATGAACGGTTTGAACAGCTAGACTCTGAATATCAGAATAAAATGGACCTCTTGCTTTTGGAGAGAACCACTGGTTTTCGACCTTCAGGATGTATCACTACTATCCATGAGAATGAAGTAGTAAAAACACAGAAAACGGATTCCACAAGCCGCTTGCAGATCTTGAGATCCTTGTCTGGAACACCCAAATCCTCAACATCTTTATCTCCAAGGTCATCTCTTTCATCTCCTTCTCCACCATGTTCACCACTAGTGACAGATCCATTCTTCATAGGAGATGCCTTTGTGAATCATGCAGATTTTGAAGATACTGAAATAAGCAGTGGACTTGTTGAACTCTGTGGTCTAAACTCTGTAGGTGGTAAGAAGTACAGAGTGGAAGATTCTAGAACTGGGGTCAAGCATTTGGACCAAGGTAAAGTAATGGATGGCTTCCTCATTTTCATTCCAAATTATTGGTATTATTTGCTATTTTAAAAAAAATAAATGATTACCAGTTTTATTAACAAAGTTTCAAGCTAACAGCTATAAAGTAGAACAACAAGCCTATATAGCAGGGGTATCAAACTCATGGCCCAAAGGACGGATGCATCATGCGCTGGCCACACCCATTCCCATTTTAGCGAAGGGGAAAAAAGTTGCAATACGTCACGTGATGATGTATCATCGCAGGTTTGACACCTATACAGCAAAGATTTTTAGCATTGAATTCATATGAATTATTTTTGGATATTTTAATAATCACTATTAAATACAATAGTAAAGATGAAATTTGTAATAATAAATCCATATTCTCACAGGAAAGAGGATGCTTTATTTTTTTTAGTCTATGAAAACTGTTCTGTTTTCATTGTTAAGGGGTTTCATAAAATTAAAGAAACATCTCAATTCACTGCTTAAAAATTGAACGCTGTAATTTAAACGTCTCTCCACATTAATTAAGCTAGCAAATGAATGCGTAAAAGATACTTCTACCTTTGGTATATATCCTAGGAGAAGTGCATAAATAATTTTCCATAGGAATTACATTATAACAGAATAACAGAGTTGGAAGTGACCTTGGAGGTCTTCTAGTCCAACCCTCTTCTCTAGCAGGAAACCTTATACCATTTCACACAAATGGTTGTCCAATCACTTCTTTAAAATTTCCCATGTTGGAGCATTTACAACTTCTGAGGGAAAGTTGTTCCATTGATTAATTGTTCCAACTGTCAGGAAATTTATCCTTAGTTCTAGGTTACTTTTCTCCTTTGATTAGTTTCCATCCATTGCTTCTTTTCCTGCCTTCAGGTGCTTTGGAAAATAGCTTGATTCCTTCTTCTTTGTGGCAACCCCTTAGATATTGGAACACTGCTATCATGTTCCCTCTAGTCCTTCTTTTCATTAAACTAGACATATCAATTCCTGCAATCATTATTCATTTTTTAGCCTCCAGTACCCAACCATCTTTGTTGCTCTTCTCTGCACTGTTTCTAGCGTCTTAACATCTTTTTTATATCATGGTGGCCAAAGTTGGATGCAGTATTCCAAATGTCTTACCAAGGCATTATATAGTGGTGCTAACACTTCTCGTGATCTTGATGATATCTCTCTGTTAATGCAGCCTAGGACTGCTTCGGTTTTTCTGGCAGTTTCTGAATACTGCTGTCTCATATTTAAGTGATTATCCATGAGGACTCAAGTTCCCTGTCACAGTTACTGCTGATGAGCCAGGTACCACCTATTCTATACCTGTGCATTTGGTTTTTCTTGCCTAAATGTAGAACTTTACTTTTCTCAACACTGAATTTCATTTTGTTAGATCCTTCTGTATCTTGAGTCTATCTTATGGAGTGTTGGCTATTCCTGCCAGCTTGGTGTCGTCTGCAAATTCCTCTTCTATCCCTTTGTCTAAATCATTGATGAAAATATTGAAGGGTACTGGCCCTAAGACAATCTTGGGGTACCTCACTGCATACTCCCCTCCATGTAGATGCAGTTCCATTAAAGACTATGTGTTGGGTGTGGTTGGTCAGCCATTACAAATTCATCCAGTGGTGATGCTGGCTCATCCATTATAAAAGAATACTTTAAAATTGATTATAGCAAATTTATACAACATAATGCACAATGTAATAACTATATATTCCTATACCAGATGGTAATAACATTTGGACGGTTTGTAACACTCTTAGGTATTATTGTTCACTTGTCAGCTTTGTCTTCTGAATTTCTGGAATAGTGAGACAAAAAAAGAAATGATTACATCTTTGCCAAGAATAATTGAAAGAGAAATGAACAAGGATATAAACAATGGATTCAATTTTGCCCAGAGAACAGAGACACTGGGGAACCATTGACTTTTCCTTTTAATAATGCTGAAGGCAAGTCATCATACTTAATCTGTGATTTGAGGAAAAGTGAAAAAGGTTGGCTATCTAAATAATTTGGGACTGGAACTTAGTTTTTTTGCACATTTTATTCTTTAGAAAACCTTTCCCTTCTCTGAAAAGAATGGACCACTGATGGTTTTTAATATTTTAATAATGTTAATATTTTTAGATGTTTTGCTGTATTATTAAAAACTTCCTGGAGTCATTTGAATAGGTAATATCCAAATAATTGTAATAACTAAAATATATTCATCTAGCTACTTAGTATATTTTTTTTAGCTAGAATTGGCTCCCAAAGTAGTGTGAATGAAAATGAATGACAATGGCAGTAAGGACAGAAGGGAGTGCCACCTGTCTCCAGTTTTCAGGTTTCCTTCCATTATGGTATATTTCGGATAGTCCCTCTTAGTTGCTTACTTTTAAAGCAATATAGTATTTTAAGAACCATGTAGCTTTTGCTACATCTGTATGCACAATAAGTTGACTATACATATGTGTGTGTGTGAATATATACAAACATATAAGTATGAAATACTTATAAATATACATATAGGAGTATATACACATAAGGTATTTTCAATCAAATACCTTTAGATGTCCCTTGCTTTCCTTTTCAAAATAATACATTATTAATCATCAATTGAAATTCAGGCAATCATCCTAATCTCATAATCTAATAGTTAAATTTATTCTGTCCTGAGACAACTTCCTGAATTATCTGAATAAATTGAAATGAAAACAAATCCATACTTTTATCATAACAGTTATTTTCTAGCTGTCAATTTATCAACTGATCTTCATGAAAGTTCAGGAGACATTGGATTTATTCCATATTACAACTCTTCTGCACTACAGTTTGATAATATCATCAAATATACATGTCCTACAAATTTTATTTTGAATTTACAGAGCATTTTAAATTTTAGGAAGTATTTTTGAGCTTCTGTTTGATTAAAGCATGCTGTTCATGACACAAAACCCCACCAACCTGGGGTCTGGAAAAGATTAAAAAAAATAATTTGTCTTTGGCATGGGGGATAAGTTCTTGCTTCTTCCCTGTGAGTAATGCCACAATGAAAAGGTTATTATTCCCATTAGGTCTTGATGGCAATTAGCCTAAACTTTTTTGGTTCTTTGAAAATGGCTGAGGGAGTTAAAGGCACTAAGCAGATTAAGTGATTGAGGATTGTTATTCAGTCAGCAGACAAAATAATCACCATAGGTAGTTTATTTCAGGGCAGTAATGAGTAAAAACATTCACTCCCTGGGATTTGCACACACAGCTCAGAGAAGTGGAAAAGCTGCCTGATTGAGTTACAGCATAGTCTTCTGGGATCATGTGTCTTCACATGTTCTTTTAAGATACAGCTAATTAACTCACCTCCAAATTACCTCTCCTTCCCTTTCTTCATAGACATCACTTATAGGAAACATTTACTGTTTTAAAGTTTAAATATTGTTCTCTGCTTCGTTTAAATAGTTGGGTAGTAGAAATAAAGGACATAAATCAAAATATGTAATGAAAGAAAAGCAATTCAGCACATGAACTCATGCAGTCAAAACCCTTGATCTAGAAAATAAAAACAGTATGACTTTTAAAAGAAATAAAGTAACCATGGACTTTTTATTAGATTAACTTCCGCTTATATTTGCCATCTCAAGATTTTTTCACTAAACTAGCTCAGAGTCATCAAGTCTGGCTTGATTTCAAATGGCTGCTTGCTTGCCATTTGAACCCAATCCAAGAACCTGGAAGTTTTCCAAGGATAGTCCAATAATCTCTTTAATCCCATTCACCCACTTTATCAGTTTGTTTCTCCTTTACATCTCTCAAATTTGCCAACCAGAGACAATTTTCCTAATCCATTATCCACTTGGATCACGTGCCAAAAGTATCTGAGATTTGGATGCATATTTCTTTGAGTATTTGCTGCTATTGTCCAAACTCAACAATATTTAGATCCAAATATTAGAAACCACCGATTCTTGAATTGGGGTCGACTGTCGTCTGCTTCAGATGCAGGTATCTAATGAGTCAGCCCATTGGTTTCTTTAATATTGTGCAACTTTGTCATGAATTTACCCCTTTCTCTTTGCATTTTTCTAGCTGTAAATATGATTGAAGGATCCGTACCGAAAGTGGCATGTGTTTCAGCTGCAGTGTCAGATGAGTCAGTTGCTGGAGATAGTGGGGTGTATGAAGCATCCGTGCAAAGGTAATTCTTACACAAATGATTACAAATTTAATTTGCATGCATCAATGTCACCAAATCAGGAAAGTCAAATCTTGCAGATTATATATTTGTTACAAAAAATTGTCAAGGATATTTACAGGCCACAATAATTTCAGTACATAGTGCACATAGTATAGTATGCTGGTCCACATTTTTCTGGTGTCATTGGAAGGTTTCCTCTATTCTTGTGCAGAATAGCTAGCAATTTCCCCTAGGAAGTGTGTTGTTCTGTAGGATAAACTGTAAGAAAGATATTTGAAATACTAAAGACTGGGTTAATCAAAGATTTCCCAAGACTGATGAGACATTATTAGCCAAGGACTCACTGAAATGCATCTTCTATCTTATTCTTTCTAACTTTAATTTTACTTATGTTCGGTATTTCTTTTGACCAATTTATCATTCTCCTGGGATGGAATAAGCTTGTTCCCTTTTTGCTTCTCATGATTTTCTCACTGAGAATCTCACTTATTTGATTCTCCCATTTACTTGGAGAAGTAGGTCCTTAATTAAGAAATCCTACAATTATTAAATGTTTGATATCAATATTAAATGTCATATTTAAATGGTTTTCTACCCTCCAAATTTTGGGGAAGAAGACTATGCTGGATTACAGTAGGTGGGAAAATAAAGGCCCCCTATTTGGTGCAAAAGAAAGCAAAAATGAATTACTTTTTAATGATTTGACTTTTCTTAGAAAAAGAAACTGAAAAATTTATAAAGTCCAATCTCTCTATGACTTTATCAGTTTTGGTATAAATAACTGCATCCCTGTCTAACTTTAGATATTTGATCTAATCATTAATTTATTTCCAGGTATTAAAAGTGCACCTACTTTTGAAAAATTATCCCAAATACAACTTCTAGTATATTATTGGAGCCTAAGCAACAAAGTCATATGATCCCAGTAATTTCTTTGTTATTCAAATTTTCACAAATGATGTTGGTCATTAAATCCTAAATAGCTTGGGTTCAGAATAGTAAAATAATTCCTATAGGTCACTTTCTGATCCATAGGTTGTTGTTGAAGGTTCTTCTCGAGATATTGTAAATGTTACTGAATGTGGCAACACAACAGAGGGCCCTATCAGCAGTGATGCCCATCAACAGCATGCCCTCTCCCTAGAGGCTAACCTGATACCTACACATTTCTTTATCCCAAGCAAAACCATTTCTTTCCCATCATGATTTTTAGGCTATAAAGAAAGAATTCCAGTAGCTATTCAGAAACGGAGATTTTATGTATTTACATTTTAATTCATATCCTTGTTGTTGAATTCTATTGCTATTTTAAAATTCATATTTAAATGTCTCTGTTACCTTTTTCAGGCCGTGTAGCTCAGAAACAGCGACATTTGAGAATGATGATGCAGATGCCCCTATTACACCTAAAGTTCAAGTTTCAATGAAGTAAGATGAATGGCTTATCCTGTGCTTTAAGCTAGTACCCTTATTAGTACTGGATAATTTTTCTATAACGGAGTTGAGTACTGTAAGTAAGATTACAAAAAAAAGCTAGAGGTACATATTTGAATGTGATATTAATGATAATATTAGAGGTTTAATGATGAGGCCTCAATGCACAATTTTTCTGGACCCTTGTACTTCATTATCATTCATTTATCCATAGTGTAGATGCTTGGCAAAAATATTACTGCATCTTGAGTTCCTTTCAGCTCTCTCTAATTTTAATTATGTTTGCTTAAATTAAAGACCATTGAGCCCAATCATCTTGTAACCACTTCTTAGGCACACATGTGTCAGAAAATCCCATTATATCCAAACGATTTTCCTCTTTTGAAAGAGCACAGAGGATTGATTAATACTAGGTATAAATATCTGAAAATATTTCATAAAAATGAATAAGGGTATCTGTATATGTGTACGTGTGTGTGTGTGTGTGTGTGTGTGTGTTTGTGTGATTAGGCTTATTCTATTACAATCTACAATTGCATCTTTCATTTATTTTCACTTCAGATATGATGACAAAAATAAACAATTTGCAGTATTTATTGCCCAGTTGAATAATGTACCTGCTCTTTTACCACAGCAAGACCAGAAAGTGTAAGTAATTACAAGGACAAAAATATTTCTGCAGGTTTCCATCAGTTATCCTAAATGACTTTTTTAAAGTTAGACTGAAATAAAAAAAAAATCTTAAATTTACCAACTGTCATTTTTGAGCCTATATATCCATTTACATGAATAAATAGATATTTTCTCCATTATTTTCATTGAAAAAATATTCTTAAATATACATAATGGCTTGTAGAAAATGCTTCAGCTTCACAGCTGACATTAAAAATTAGAATTATTTCTGAAGTTTGAAATATTCCTCAGTACTTCTGCAGAACAAAGCTTTTCCTCTCCACAATATATGAAGTGATTAATACACTATCTGACATGAAAAAGGTGTCTATGCAAATTCTAATACTCCCCTCCATGTGATATTTCTATGAAGACTACCCTAAAATGCAGTATAAGACACATTTACTATATAAATATTAATGCTATAAAATGAGAATTATTATTAGCTCCATAAATTCACATCTGTTGCAGGATACGTAGAGCATCCTTTGAACTTCTATACTGTAAAAACATAGAGAAGTTATTACAGGGCAGGGAGATGTTGCTGGGATAAGTTCCTTTCTTTTTTTTAATGTCAGATATGATGGAATATTTTAAAGGGGTAAGAATTCTGCTTAAAATTAATAAATCAGCTGAGCAACCTTGAAGCTCAGTGGTCTTCAAGGAGCAGAAAACTGTAACTACAAGTTAAGTCTGGTTAAGATTCTACATGAACAAAGTTTACTAAGAGGTGTAACATATTATTTGGGAATTTTCTGATTCTGTCCCATTTATAAATGTTTTTCTCTGCTAAAAGATACTAATAATAAAATAGTTCTTGTAAATTGAATAACTACCATATCTATTTTAATATAGAATGCAAGCAGGATCTTGTTTATAATTTGTCATAGTCCCATAGTTATACTGGGACTTGTTTTAGTTCTCTGTCCATTTTTCATTATGTCTGTGTAAAGAGAGAAAAGGGAATCCAACCAAGCTCTGAAGTCATTGTATATTCTACTCTAAACTATGTCAAGTTCTGCCATCCATAATTTCTAATTCAACTTTTTTACATAATTGATCTACTGAAATCTCTCATGATTTTAATACTAATATCCAACTCAATCACAGACGTAGGAACAAATAGTTGAAAAATAAGTTTCTTCTCTAAAGAACTATGCAAAAATGGGTTACACTGATAGTTGCAGTGATATTCACATATACAGTGAGCTTGTGGATAAGTAATCCTTATTTAAGATCATTTCCAACAGGAGCATTCGTGTGGCTGTTCTTCCTTCATCTGAAAGCACAAGCTGTTTGTTCCGTACAAGACTCATGGACGCATCAGACACTCTCACTTACAATGAATTATTTTGTGTTGCAATCCCTCATTCAGTTTTGCGACAGAAGACACTAAGAATTGATGTCTGCACTTTAGATAAATTCCACCTTGAAGAATGCTTGGTTAGTGCTTATTTCTATTTGATAATGTCATCCTCATCATTGCAGTGCCCTCAGAATATGGGAGAACAGTGTGCCACCTCTCATAAATATGAGTAGCACTGGGCACCAGAGTAAAAACAATTATCGACTTATGATCATAATTGGGACCAGAATTGTTAAGCAAGATGGTTGTTAAGCCATGCCCATTTTTATTGCCTTTTTTTGTCAGAGTTTATGAGCAAATCACTGCAGCTGTTAAATAGTTAATCAAATACAGCTTCACTCATTGGTTTTGCTGTCAGAAGCCACCTGAGAAAGTTGCAAATGGTGATCACATGACCCTGGAGCCATTGCAACCATCCTAAGTACATGCTGGTTGCCAGGCTCTCAAAGTTTGACCGCAGGGATGCCACTATGGTCGTAACTGTGAGGGTCATTCATAAACCACTTTTTTCAGTGCCTTTGTAGTTTTGAATGATCACTAAACAAATGGTTGTAAGTTGAGGACTATCTGTAATGCTTATATGGAAAACCCTCTTGTGTATGACAGCATGCAGCATCACTTGCACAGTTGTGGCACCTAAAAATTGTTTTGTGCAATTACCTAGAGTATAAATGTAAAGGCAGGGTAAATTTTGTACACTGTCCAGGATCACTCATTTATCCTAGCATCTGTGAATCAAACTCTTTGAACGTCCTGAAGGTACTCATCAATGTATTTTGTTTTCTTTTTACTGTAGGGAGGTGCACAAATTAGCCTTGCGGATATTTGCAGATCAGGGGAAAGGTCAATGCGCTGGTACAATCTCCTCAGCTATAAATATCTACAAAGGCATAGTTGTGAAAATAAGCAAGAGGATACTTGTTCTGAGCTACTCTGCAATGAGAAAATGGTAAAAAAACTAATAATTAAAGGTGTTTTTGCACAATCTGCAGGAGACAAAGCCTCATGGCCAATATATTTGTTTTCTCAGCTTGAATAATGATAGTCTTTGGTAAACCTTCAGACACTGAGTGTGATATTGTTAATGTTGTTAACCTATTTCCCACAGGACTCTGTATCTGCATTGCTAGAACAAACTGTTGTTGAACTTGAGGCAGTAGAGAAAAAACTAGGAGAAAGTACTTTATTTACTGATGAAACCTGGTGAGTCATATGATACAATCATGGGATTCCATAATTCTTTTTACAGTGACAGAATTAAATAAAGGATATAATCAATTAAATCCCCTTCTATAGCAATTTTTCATTATATAGGCATTAAACATTGAAGTAATTCTTTGGAGAAAATTGCTGTATTAAAGAGTTTTAAGTATTTCAGTATTAAAATTGGCATCTTTAAACACACAATAATCTTTAGAACATGATATACTCCTAACACGCACAAAAGCTGAACAATATTTTCATATTAATCCAATACAAATTTCATTTTGTATTTTCAAATCGGTGACAAATTGGTCTCCTGAGATCTCCAGTCATTCATGATGAGACTTTCTATAGCTTTCACTGCTTTAGATCTGTTAATTCAAGCCTGTTGTCAAGTTGCTACAGCATGTCTCCAGTTTCTTTAATTTTATCACATGATATTGTGATGTTTTCCTTCCCACAATGACTGTGAATATAACAGTTTTGACAAAGTTTCTATATCCTGTAATTTTGTGTGAACATTGCTCATTTTACAGGCAATATAAGGAAGATGCTGAGCAGGATGGTAACAGTGAAACTGAAAATGGTGAGACTGAAGCAGAGGAAGAATTTTATGGCAGAAGGACTGTGTGGGCCACTGAAGAGAACTTGCTACCTTTGTTGCAGGCTGAATCAGCAACCATCAAGGTAAAGAATGTATAATGAAAGCAGAATCCATTGAAAGCGAGAAAGCAGAAAGACAAGCTGCCTTAAGCATTATGCCCTTGCTGCAGTCCCCTTTGTTTCATTTCTGACAAGCTGTCTTTTGAATTTACATTCTTCACTAGGCTCATGAATCAATATTGCTGAGGTTTGTTTTGTTTTTCATTATAGCCTTCAAATATCATTGGCAAACTAGTTGCTTTTGAAAACCAGTTATGGCTCTTTCTCAGTGATTATATTAAGACTGGCTCAAATCTCAAGCTCTTGGCTTGATGGAAATCTTAATATTTTTTTGCCCAAATAGAGCGATGTAACTTCCCGATAAATAGATATGGAAAATCACACTAACATCTGCTTATTATGAACAAGTACACTACTGACTGGCAATAGAACTCCTGTTTCCAAAATAATTAAATTCTGTATGCCAAAGTCAAGCCCAAGACAATTATCCATTAAAATATTGAAATTAATTTGCATATTCATACATTAGTTTGTTGACATAGATGAAAGTGGTTTTCCTTTTCAAATAAAATGTACAATAATTTATGCATGTATAGATGGTGCCATTGAGTTTTTATTATGAGTCACTGAAATTTTTCAGCAGAAAAAATATGGTGCCCTTTCAATCCTTAGTCTGCTTCAGCAATGAAGCAGAATAAATGCTCTATCCACAAAAGAAATAGGGAGAAGAAATCCATGGTTCAGGAACACCTTGTTTGATACCAGTTATTGATACCAGCAGTTTTAGATTGTCAATTGTTTGATCCCACTGAATGTACTCTGTGGTTTTGAAGAATTGGGACCAATGGAATGGTTCTCCATTGTTCTTTCCTCCATTGTTCTACCAAGTGTGGCAATGGAAGTTGCACTAGAAGAAATCTGGTCCAATTTTCTTCTTCCCCTTAACTTCACTGGTCTCAGGTGGCAATGAAAGCATACTAAGAGAGAAGGAGGGAAGTGAGTATTTTCTCTATTTACCCCTGGTGCCAATGGCTGAAGTGCTGCTTTCCCCATAGCTGGCTAAAAATGCATTCCTCTATGACATAAATACACTTTTCCCGTCATTTCTCCAAATGTTGAAAACCAGAAATCTCTTGACAGTTTTGTCAGGGTTGGCAAGAGTAGTGGAAGAGATGGCTGCTTGGCACAATGGGAGAGAACATAGCCCTGAAAAACATTGTCAGGATGTGGGTGGGCCAAAAGCAGCCTTGGGTGGCTATTGGGAACACTTTCCTGTTATTCTTACCGCAAAACAAGGCACAATGGACATCATACAGCTTGTTCTGCAAATGTTGGAAAATATCATTTTAGAAGCAGAACAGGTAAACACAGATAAATGCTGCCTCAATTGTGGGATGGGGTAAGCTGAGGATGAAATTGTTCATGCCTTATAAATCAATTTGCTGATGCATTGCTAGTCCAGACTTAATGGGCTGTGCTGAAGAACTCATCGCGTTGCTGTGTATTTTTTATGTGTAGTATAAGTATTGAAAAGAAATATAGAATTCAGTCCAGTGTTCTTATATTTATAGCAAAGCAGTCAGAGTGAAAGTATATCAGGAAGGAAAACTACATTGATATATCTTTGACTTCCAGGTGGATAAAGAAACCAACACAGATAGTCTTATGCAATCTTCTCCAGTAGTTCGTCCCAAAGATAAAAGAACACCTAATCCTTTACAAACACCCTTCGTTAGAGGCAGCACAATCATCCGCTCCAAAACTTTTTCTCCAGGACCACAAAGCCAGTATGTGTGTCGGGTAAGGAAAACGTAATTCATGTATTTATTTCTTTGTTCTCTCTCCTCTGCAAATAGACAACTAATAATTAACTTAGTTAACACTACAGTACACACTTTATAAAGAACATTTTCCTTTCCTGGATTCTCCTTTGATAATTTTTGATATGAGTTTGGGAAAAATAAACTGTATTTTCAGTTAGTTAAAAATGCTCTTTGAAAATTTATTTTATTTATTTAATTTATTTATTTAATTTGTCAATCGCTTACAAGATAATAGGTATAAGTAGAAACATGAGTAAGAATACAGGAAATAGGTACGAATAAAAGGGGGCAAAAGGACAGGGACGGTAGGCACGATTGTGCACTTATGCACGCCCCTTACATTTACAAATTTACAAAAGATTGCAAATCATTACAATCTTTTGACAGACCAACTCCTAACAGGCTAAGCAAGTAGTTCAAATGAAAGTGAAAAATGTTAAAACTCCCTCACTTAGATATTTGTAAGAAGTTGCCAGGATATTCTTGCATAGAATTTCAATTTCTCTTAATATAATTTTTAATCTCTTTCAAATTCAGTAGACGTGTAACAGAAGTGTTGTTAAAATGTGAGTGAAAAATATTATGGAGGTAGTCCTCGATTTACAACCACAATTGAGCCCAAAATCTCTGTTGTTAAGTGAGACATTTTATGACTTTTCTTGCCACAATTGCTAAATGAATCACTGTAGTTGATAAGTTAGTAACCTGGTTGTTAAGTGAATCTGGCTTTCCCATTAACTTTTCTTGTCAGAAAGTCGCAAAAAGGGATCACCTGATCCTGGGACAGAGCAAAGGTCATATAAATAAAGGTTGTAACTATGAAAATTGGTCATAAGGCACATTTTTCAGTGCCATTGTAAATAACTTGAGGACCTGTACTTATTTTATTTTATTTTCAAAACCCATCCCTCACTCACATACACATGCCTACACATGTCCAGCTTTTTGAACTTGCAAGAATTTAAAGTTTGTATGAATAGAAATGCTTTTATTTCAGGGTATGTTTCAATTCCAAATTTCATTTTCTGCTGTTTTTGGCCAGGTTCACAATTTGAATAGTTCTGTAGATATGCACTAAATTCCAATGAAAAATATGTTGCTTTTTAGGATTTTATATACAGTGTGTAGTACTACAGTGTAAGTCCAGCTGATAAACTATCGCTCTTATATGTCAAGAATTCTAAAGTTCCTAATTGCCCAACCCTACTAGAATTCTGATGTACTTGCTTAGCATAAATATTACTATATTGTTTTCTTTCAAGTTGTATATTCTGCCAGTTTTATTGCTGCTCAATTATGAATCAAGTGTGGTGACTTTTATAGAAAGAAAGGAGAAAGAATGTAAGAGCAATCTGAAAGTAAACATCACTGTGATTTCAAGTGTAGCCTATAACGCAACCAAGCGTGAATGAATCTGGTGCATTACAGCTATATCTGTGGGGGGTTTGCCTTTTTGATAAAATGCTTATTTATAATTAATCAGCACAAGGATACAGGATCAGATAGGACTATAAATAAACTCTCTTTAGCCTTGGTCTGAGAAGCAAAGGTGGAAAAACACTGTCCAGAAGTTCCTTTCATGAAGGAAGGACTGGTTCTATTGGAAAATGTTGGGTTCCTTCAGCACATCAATTGCTGAAGGCACCCAAGAGGTCTCTTTTATGTGTGCCACTGAGAGTCATTTTTTAAAATTTCTGCAGTATATAAATATGTTGTCATTTTTTAAATTGCTGCAGTATATAAATATGTTAAATAAATAAAATTAGTACTCACAAATTCTGACACCATCAGGATTTTTAGCTATCCATTTTCTCTTTCAATAGTTGCTACTCTAAGCAATAGGCTATACAATTTTATCATCTTGGTGTTGTTGTTTTTTAAAGTAGACCTTCTGGCATCATTCCACAGAATAAATGACACATGACAATATCCAGGCATAGAATGATAGATTAATAGTTCAGTACAGTAAACAAGAAATGTAGAAAATCCTTCAGAACATCTCAGTTTACTTACCTATATGGCACAAAATAGCAAAAAATGCAGCTTTAAAACAATATCTACTACCAATGATTTTTTTCCTGTTTTTTTTCCAGCTTAATCGTAGTGATAGTGATAGTTCAACACTATCTAAGAAACCACCTTTTGTTCGGAATGCTGTTGAGAGACGAAGTGTCAGAATGAAACGGGTAAATAATATTTTTATATTGTCCAGTTTTTATTTTAACTTTTCCTTATATTTGTTTCTAATTAACTGGTTAGTTACTTGGTTAATAAGACTAATTAACTTTTTTTAATGTACTGAGAGCTTCAGGCAGCATAAAGTACAACAGTGCTTAAACTAAGTAAAATTTCAATATTATAAATTACAATAAGAATTGTTACTTATTTAAAGCAGTATAAATTAAAAGTAATGACAAATAATTGTGATGTAAAAATAAGGTGGCTTTTTAAATTTTCACAACATAGAAAGATAATTTCTATGTCTATATTTCTAGGAAGAAACACAATTTTCTGTCAATGAAGGTTTTCTATACTTTGCAGTTTCTATCATTGTGCAAAAAATCTGTTGTAAATTCTAATACTACTAGGAAGTTATTGTAGACTATATAAATTTGAAGACTTTATCAAGAAAACTGTTTAGTGGTGAGATTAATTAGTTAATATATAACAAGTATAATGTTTCCCCAGTATGAATTAAGTTTGATTGCTGGTGACTTTATGGACATACTGCATATACCTAGGAATGTTTAGCAACAGTCTGGAAGAGATTTGCAATGGCCTTCTTTTCCAGGGTATTATCAATCATATTGTTTCATACCTTGCTATTTCAACCATACTTCCTGGCGGGGTCTTATCTGGTCTGATCTGCTTAGCTTTTTGAGATCAGATAAAGTATAGTCACCAATTTGGAGTTTTAGTATATTTATATTATATTGTTGGGGTTTCTTTTTTCAGTCTTCTGTTAAAACTCTTGGACCTGAGCGTTTGATCCGTACTTCTCTCGACCTGGAATTAGATTTGCAGGCGTCAAAGACCTGGCATAGTCAGTTGCTGCAAGAGATTTCTGTCCTCAAACAGCTAAAGGAACAGTTAGAGCAAGCTCAAAGTCAAGGAGAAAAAGAGTTACCCAGATGCCTAGACGAGAATGAGCAATTCAGGATGTTAATGAGACTGGTAGAGAAAAAGGCAAGTATTCATAAGGCTAAAAATTGGTTTTAACTTTCTATTTCTCCAAATGACAGTATGATCCAATAGTGATTTTTAAAAATAAAAACAATTCTTACTGATTGTTAAGGGCTCACTTTATTTTAATGGGAGTTAAAATATATTTAGTTCGGCTCAGAAGTCGTCTGCATTCTGATTTCTATGCAAGGCAGCATGTCCCACACTAATGCCATATTTCCTTAGAAGCTGAATGATCTCAAATCATGACATTTATAGGGCAAAGATTGCTGTCAAATTTGAAGTGACTAAGTTGGGGGGAAGGGTTTAAAAAGCTCATGCTCCACACACAAATTTGCAATTTGCCTTCTATAGCCACCTGGAATTCCGTTGAGTGCCAAATCACTGACATGACAATTTCAGGCAAGTGGCATAAGACATGGGGTGAATGACGTTTTTCGTCCCCAAAGGAGAGGAAGGCAGGAGGAGAAACACCACTTCAATAATGCAGTCACATTTTAATGTCATCTCTCTGTTTTCTGGTAATAAGTCTCTCCCACCCAAAGTGCAGCTGTCACGGACTTATAACCTGCCCCTCTTTTGTATTCAGCAGTTTGAGATGAATCTTGTTTTCTTAATAAAATTCAAATGTATAATAAATGCTGCCCAAAACATGATTTAGATACAGGTAAAATTAAATGTTTTTTTAAAATAAGTATTATGAAGTATTATTGCTAGCTAATACTGTTATCTGTAAATAGTCTGGAATCTTGATATAATCTGCCTTGACTTTGAATGCCACAGTCCAAATTTCTATGGTGATTGTCATCATGTGTTTTATAGTAAAATTATATAAATTATGCAAATTATATTGTTACATCAGTTAAAGTCATTTATTCAAATGATACAAATTGATGCAAATGAAATAATTTATGCCATTTGCATTACAGAAATTATGTAAATTGCCATGATGATATATTTTAGTGGATATTTGTAAATAATTGTCAGTCACTTGCTCCAATGAATCCATTAAAACAAGGTATATGTAATACCCTGTTGCAATATAAATGTATATTCCAATGTTCATAGGATTACTTTATAATATATATGGGATATAATACATATATTACACACAATAATATGTATGCACATTCAGTTTTCAGTAGGACTGTGAAACAAATTTTTTTCATAAATATTCTGTGATATGACTCTAGTTAAAATATATCTGTCATCAATTCTTGTTCTTGGAAAAAGTGACTATCTTTGCAAGTATTAAATGACAGATTATTAATTCATATGATTCTATTGACCTCCATTCCAGTTCTAGTTTTTATATTCAATCTTTTCCCTCCTTTACTTTTAGTTGGGCAAAATTAATCCATTCAGATTGACAATACTACATCTCACAGGAAATACACTAATTTGTTTCTTTTTCTCCTCTCCCCCCCCCCCCCCCCCGCAAATTCTCCAGTAGTAGAATTAACAATTTACACGCACTCAATCTTTGCATTATTTCTAAATAAATAAGTTTGCCTTCCCTGTTACATTTCAAACATAGACACAAACTTCTTTTAATTTTACTTAGTTGTGTCAGATTAGGAAATAATTTGTTATACTCCTATTTAAATAAATGGTTCCATTCTGATCTTTCAGACCGTAAAGGCTGGATGTAAGTATGAACGGAAGGCTGATAAAATGATGAGGGCAGCTGCTAAAGATGTGCATAGATTACAAAGGCAGACCCAAAAAGAACCTCTGGAGGTGCAGTCATTCAGGTAGGAAAAATATATCCTTTTTTCTGTGCATATCCTTTCCTTGGTACACCCTTTCAAAATATTTTATTTCAAAATATTTATTTAGATTCACTCATCAATTCATTATCATTAATATTTGAAACAGGGTAATTGTATTTGTATCAGTTTCATCTTATGATGAATTGTGTTTGGCATTTATAACAAGTATATCCTTTTCTGGCAGTAGCATGGCACTGTTTCCACAGTTAAATTACTTTCATTGAAATAACTTACATGCAAATTCTTCACTATGTAAATGAAAATGATTGGGCTTTGCTAAAATACTTATTTATTATTCTGGTTAACAATCAGATTTATGGTACTGAAATTGTTGCTTTTCACTTTTTAAATTATTGCCTCCAAAGGACCAAAATAATAAATATCATAGCTTGCTATGTAAAAAATTAGAATTTTGATGCCCCTTTAAGATTTAATAGCATTTAACTTTTGTGACAGTAGTCCATTTCAATAGTTGCATCATATTATCGGTGTAAGAGGAGTTGTAAACAATGAGGTCAAGTGAAAATGACAAGCATAAAATATATTGATAACTATGATACCATGTGTTTAATAATTATGGTAATTATGATGCCATAGTGGTCTGTAAACCTTATGCTGTAACACATTTATTATTATCAAGATTACATGATATTCTCCTTTTTCTTATTCAGAGTGGTTTTATTGTTAAATAAAATTGTTAAAGATAGATTTTTATTTTCAGATTTTGACAGCTGAAACATTAATTCTTAATTACAATAATAACTTGTTGTTTTTCTTATTTGTAGAGAGAAGATGTTGTTTTTCACACGACCTAGGATAAATATCCCAGCTCTCTCAGCAGATGATGTTTAATGTCTATTTAAGTATTTTGTTCTTAAAACCACTTCTGAAAAGTATATGTCATTCACTGAGGTTTATTTATATCATATTATCATTGTTAGTACATTGATGGCTTTATCAGTTCTAGGGCCAGATTTTTAACTTCTTTTTTTTCATTGCAAATGCCAGCATTAAAATTACACTATCATATAGTTTGTATATTTAGCTATGCATTTTTGAAATTTTTTAAAAAATGAAACAGTATAGCTCACAATGCCATTTAAATAATATTTACATGTTGACATTTTGTACAGCTTCGCTTTTTTTAAAGACAGGTTTTGCTGAAATAAATTTTGAATTTGAAAAGGATCTGACATACAATTCTAAAAAATTGGACCCCAACTCTTACATAACTAGGTTTTGCTAATTCAAATATTTTTATATCAAATAAAGGATAAAAGAAGCCATTTTAAGAGTTAAAAATGAATGCTCTGTTGAGCTGTGAAACACTTCCATTTCCATCTAGGTCATAAAAATGGGTGTGGTGTTTAAATGCCTACTGCACTTTAATCTGGAGATTGTTACTTCATTTCATTATGCTGTTGTCCTGTAAGAGTCCCCAAAGCCCTGTGAATCCTGTGTTAAAAAGAGAGTTACAGGAAACATATATCCGTGGCTACATATTTGGCTTGAAAGAAATATTAAAAGCCAGCAACTATTTTAAATAAGCTATATCTGTCTTAAAATTATTTATATTTCTTTTAGCAAATAATCTTCATATAATCATGCCAGTTTACAATGAGCAATCTTAATATGTACAAATGCTTTCTGTGTTGGTCTTTTTAAAAACTAATTTAAATCTAGTAAGTTCTCCCCATTCTTCAGTGAGGGAGTATTTAATCCGAAAGGGTTTTCTCTGATTACTATTGAGACCATCTATTTGGATATCGAAAACAATATCCTAGAAGAAAACAGCAGCAAATCACTGTCTTGCTCCTGCTGAGAAAACTACACGGACAGTTTCCAGAAGCATTTTACCTTCACCAAACAGCCTGCAATAAAAACCTTGGTTTAAAAACCTGTAATCATGTTTATAACCCAGTTAATCACATTGCTTGTAGTTTGTTTATTTCTCCCCCCCAGTTTGTTTACTTTAATAATTGTGTTAGTTTTTTTTTGTTTTTTTTGTGCACACCCAAGCACTCTGCTCTGCACTTTCATTTTCATATGCCCATCTTTAAATATACAGTATGCACATGTACACTTAGATGTAGAACTAGACATAGGTTATTGAACTATGTAGGCATCAATTCACTATGAGATGCATATGAGTGCCAGTTTGGTCTAGTTCTAAGGCACCAGGCTAGAAACTAGGAGATTGTGAGTTCTAGTGCTGCCTTAGGCAAGAAAGCCGCCTGGGTGACTTTGGGTCAGTCACTCTTGCTCAGCCCAAATAATAGGCTTGCTGTTGTAGAAAAAATAGGAAGAGGAAGGAGTATTAAATATATCTGCTGTCTTGAGTTATTTATAAAAATAATAAAGTCCTGATAAAAAAAATAATAATACCTTTTCTAGTCACTTCAGGGGAAAATAATGAAAGAATCAATTGTCTTATTTTTTAATAATTAGTAACTGCTAATTATCAATTTTATTGACTCCAATCGAGAAAAAAACCAGTATGTGAAGAACATCAGCAGGATAGAAAGTGACTGTTCTATCCTCTTCTCCTTAAGCAGAATCTGGTATTGTTTTAAAAATTGGGTTGAGGCACAATCCAAAAATGAGAATTCAGTTGTAGAAAATACTTCTGTCAATTTTTTCCCCTTTTTTCTGGCCTGTAAATCATAGCCTACTTGCTTTAGGAGAGTATCTTAATCCTTGAAAGAGACGTTTGGCAATAATTTATTGGAGGATGGGATAGGGAAGTCATCTTATGCTAACAACCATCCACTTCCTCTAGATCCAAGATCTATTTTGTTTTTCATATAGCATTTGAAGAAATGTTAATGCATTCCAATGTTATTGTTTTCTTTGAGAAAAGAAATAATGTGTGAGATTCCAGGGTCTATATGGTGTTTGGCTCTCTTTGGAATATAACTGAAATATCTTCATATCTTCCTACAACAGCTCACATCTTACATTAAGCCAATTGTTGACATTTAAGAACAGAGAGTAATGGACACTGGAATACAAAGGCCTTAAAGGTCCACAAATCAAGATGCACCTTCAGGAGTAAAGTTGACAAGTGGTTTAAAACTGGATTTTTCCTGAGATGTATATATATATTTTCATATATAAACACTGGAATAAGCAACCACTAAATGATTGAATTTATATATTTTAAATTTTGTTAGGATTAACATTAAAATTGTTATAGATAGAAATTAACGTACGTGATCTTTGTGTCTTTTGTATGTCTATGTCGATAATTCAAAATATATCAGTTCATACAAAGTTACAGATAAAAATGGATCTTTTTAGATCCATGCAATGATGGAAGTCAATAACTGTGATTAAGAACAATGTTTTTCTTTAAAAAAAATAAGCTTGTTTTTATTGAGAGTTTATTCTGCACATATTTAAGAACTTTAGTTGTTTTTCACCAGTAGCTTCAACGTTCTTCAAACTCACTCTTACTGGATTTCAGTGGTTTATTGATCTACATGGATTGAAACAAACAAGCAAAGAAAATACAGTTTCATAACTTTAAAAGATAATGGCTTGAGGCAGTGGTAGGATTCAATTTTTTTTAACTACCGGTTCTGTGGGCGTGGCTTGGTGGGTATAGCAGGGGAAAGATACTGTAAAATCTCCAGTCAGAGGTAGTACTTACCAGTTCTCTGAACTACTCAAAATTTCCGCTACCAGAACTGGTTAGAACCTGCTGAATACCACCTCTGGCCTGAGGTTTATATTGCAAATGCATATTTGCAGCCTTCCCTGACCTGAGAGCTATCTAGGTATGCAGACTTTTAACTCTCAGTATTCTTGACAATAGTCACATTTGGTGGAAGGGGAAGATTATGGGAATTGAAAGTTAAGACAAGCTGAAGAAAGATATATTATTGGGTTAATTAATGGAGATTAATTTAGTGACTTAAAAACAAATGAAGACTTATTACTTCACTTTTTAAAAAAATCTGAAAAGAAGAAGAGTCCTGATCCAACATAGTTCAACATTCTATGTTAACAGTGTCTAACCAGAATCAGTAAAAGGACTGAAACATGAATAGGAGAACAATAGCTTTCACAGTTCAGCCTTCATCTACAAATAAAGGAGCACTGAATTATTAGAGGAGATTATCATCAATAAAGAGCCAGTTTGGTCTAGTCTAGTGGTTAATGCACCAGGCTAGAAAGCAGAAGACTCTGAATTCAAGTCCTATCTTAACTGAAAGCCAGCTGGGTGACTTTGGGCAAGTCACTCAGCCCAAACCACATCAAGGATTGTTGTTGGGAGAATAGGAGAAGGGAGGTCTTAGATATGTTCGCCACCTTGAATTATTTGTAAAAATAATAAACCTAGGATATAAATCAATAAATTATAAATACAATCAATGAACATCTCTATTCTTTGAATCAGATAAAAGGGTACTTGGATTAGCACTTTTAGGTAATCCTGGGGATTGTCCATCCTTCTGCATTGTAATATGTTTCTTTTGTAATTTCCTGATCCGGTATACTTTCCAAGAGAGAAAGAATTTTAAGGCAAATTCTTGGATTTCCGTATGGTTTCAAGACTAATGAGCTGAAGAATGAATTTATCTTCTCCTTCTAACCCCATCTATGGTAGTTCAAATGTTCAGATAAACCCATCCCTTAGAACCCTTTCATCCTAGCCTCTAAAACGGTTGCATGGAAACAATTTCCTGATTGATCTAATCTGTTCTCAGAATTATCTCACAACTCCCATTTACATAAAAAGGCAAACTGTTGAGACTGTCAATGTATTTTTTCATACAGTGAAAATGTTAAGGATATTTCAATACTCTGTGCTCTGCTGTGTTAAATTTCAGGTAATACCCGAAAACTTCAAAACAATTATCCCTAGTTCACTGTAACTTTAAAATGAAACCATTGTTTGTAAGTGGTAGCACGTTCAGATAGCGGGATTATGGCACACACTTGTTTGGAAACTGAGCCCCAGTTCAAATTTAGGCATAATGAAAGGTTGCCTGATATTTTATCAAAACAGAGCAAAAGTGAATATAAAAGACATGAAACATAGCAATTATGTAAAAAGATTGACTTTAAGAAGACTGATGAAACTAATTCAAGATCATCCTTACATGTATTGTCCTAATGCAATTTCAAGACACTGTTCAATACTGTGTTGTGAATTTTAAGTGTTTCCATGTGATGGAGAAAATATGTTTGGGGAAAGTGTCAGTGTATCTTCAAGATTTTTAACAAAATAACAAACTGGTAATGGAAAATTTAAAAAAATTTCCAGGAATGGTGGGGAAGGTCAAACTCGAATTTTGCAACTACTTACATCTCAATTGTATCTGAAGCTCTGCCACAGTCAACAATGAAGCATTATGTAAGAAAAGACCCTTTGCCCGCTGCTTGGCTTCCCAGTTCCTCACATCACCTTGTCCCCTATGTGACTCATTCAAATAATAGCTTTAGTATGGTGACTTGGCTTATGGCTCTGAAATGATATTACAGTGTACAATATGCTGATTGGGGAAGGACTATAGCATCGACTACAATACTTACACATTTTGCAAAAGTTCTCTCAAATGTCTTACTGCAACAGGGACAAATCCCTTGCACTAAAAATGAGTATACAATTTTTGAAAGTGAGCGGACATCTGGAATTTCAGTGGTATGTTATGGAGGTGGACAAATGACACAAAGCACTCAAACATCACTTTTATTTTCTATGTGCCACCCAACAGCATTGTGAAAAGATACGCAAATTCCTTACACATTTCCTTATGGTATCTCTTCCCCAACAAGCTCCTCAAAAATTGCAATGCAAGGATTCCAGTAGGTGCAAACTCATAAGTAGGTCCTTTTCTATCCCTGTTCGGAACCTAGTTAGGAAAACAATGTCATGAAAAATGTTTCATTTTCTCTCATTGCAATTGCATTGTGCTTTGAGAATGCTCTTGAAATGGTTAGAGCAGTAAACTCTTTCCTTTTCTCCTGGCCACTTTTTACAGAAGCACAATTGAGAGCGTTTTTAACAAACTGCATCACTGGTTTGGTGGCAGCAGTGCCTCAGATAAAAAGTCCATACAGAGAGTGGTAAGGACAGCCGAGATTATAGAAAGTATGCTTCCTGTTATTCAGGATACTGCTTATAAGCACTATGTGCTTAGAGCTCAAAACATTGTTGGAGACCCCACACCCACTTCATGGTCTGTTTCTGTGACCCCCCTCTGGGAGGAGGTTTTGAAGTATTTATAGCAGGACTACCAGATTCTGTAACAGCTTTGTTCCCTATGCCATCAATCTGGCAAGATTCATTTTTCTCACCATGTACGTGTATACATCCGAACCATGTTGTTTCTCTGTTGTCATATATCTGGGTTTATATATAATTTCGTATTCATTCATTCATTCTGTCATGGTTATTATAGTGTATAGGGGAGGTGGTGACTCTCTGAGAGTTGTATGCAATGAAATTTTAATGTATGCCAATTAGTGTACATTAAGGTGACCAATCGCTCTCCTTTAGGAAGGACAGTCCTTCTTTTGCAAGTTCTGTCCTCTCTCAAAAAGTGTCCTCCTACGAATGTCTTTTTGATATTTGAAGACTAATCTGTAAATCTCCATATTTGATTGATGCAGATCCGATCCGTTGTGTGCGATGTGACGTATTTGTATTTGACATGACGATTCGTCAAGACTTGGTACAGTGCAGTGAGATGCGATTATGAGACGCATGCGCTCCACACAGGAGAATTGTTTTGAAAGAGTGCGCCACGCGCAAGTGGCTTTGTTGTTTTTTTTCCCTTCAATTTATTTGTGTTCTCATTATAAAAAAGTCGGTCACCTCAGTCTACATTCAAAGTGACAAAGTTATTATTCTAGTCTATTGTACTCTACCATGACAGTAAACAGACTACTACCTCAAGCGGTAGACGCCGGACAGGTGCGAGTCTCTTGAATCGCCCTGGCCATTGTTTCCTGCAAGACTAAAGTTGTTTCGCACGCTTCCTAGATAATCGTTTTTTCTCGTGCATTACACTTTCCCCGTAATAAACTTACAGTCTAAGTCTTTTTTTCTCTTTCTTTTAACTCCAATATTCTCGTCCTTGGCGCCAGGCGGCCAAGAAGCCTTTAAAAGAAAAGCAACGGCAAAAAAAAAAAAACGTTCCGAAGCGACTCAATAGGGGGCGCTGGAGGGAGCTGCGATGCGCTTCCTTCCTCGGGTCCTCTATTTCTCTCTCTTTCTTTCTCGCCTTGGCGTCAATAGTGAATTCCGGTTCCGGCTAGCTTGTGGTTCGTGAGAATGGCAATGCAAGCGGCGGAGTGGGTAGAGCGGCTGCAGCGCCAGGTCAGAGGCTCCCCCGGGTGGGTCGGGCGCGGTTTTGGGAGAAAACAAAGGGGCAAGCTTGGAGCAGGAGGCAGCCGGGAAGAGGCGCCGGAGAGCCTCTTTTTCTCTCAGCCGGCTGGGCTTCCGCTGCGGACGCGTGGCAATGCTTGGACCTTGCGCGCAAAAGCCTCAGGGCTTTTCTCCTTTTGTCTCCTGGGAATGTATTTCTATATCCTTGGCCGGGCTTAAAGCGGGGCCGTGAGACGAATTTCCTAAAGCAGAAGGTTGAGCAGGGAGGGGAGCGCAACCTTTGCTCCCCGCTCGACTCCGTTGTGCCAGGCGAGAGAAGGAGAGACGGCATAGCGAAGACAGGCTTCAGTTAGAAGTGTTTTAAATTTTGTATACTTTGTCAGTGGCCAATTGATCGGCAAAAAGGAATAATATATGGCAGATCTAGGGAAAAAGAACTTATAAAAGCTAGTTAACAACTGCCTCACCTCTTTCTCTTTCTATCCCTCCTCTCGTTTGTTAGACGTCTTTCTGTATTTTCGTTTTTATTTTCTTCCAATAAAAGGTGCATGTACATAACGTAATAGTGTGTTATAACCGCCATTTGCATGTGAATTCTGCTGGTCACTAGTCCTCGACTTACAAACAGTTCACTTCGTGACTGTTCGAAGTCACGGCGGCACTGAAAAAAGTGACTTATGACCATTTTTCACACTTATGACCATTACAGCAACCCCATGCTCATGTGTTTTACACTGAAAACTGACTCACATTTATGAAGGTTGCAGTGTCCCAGAGTCATGTGATCTCCTTTTGGGACTTTGTGACAAGCAAAGTCAATGGGGAAACCAGATTCCCTTAACAACCCTGCTACTAATTTAATAGCTGCAGTGATTCACTTAGCAAACGTGGCAAGAAAAGTCGTAAAATGAGGCAAAACTCACTTAACAAATTTCTCACTTAGCAACATAAATTTTGGGCTCAATTATGGTCTTAATTTGAGAACTATCTGTATTTGCCGCCCAAAACATCAATTAAGTTAGTTCTTTTATGGAACAAATTTAGTTGTTTGATGAAAAGATGTATGGTAAAAATTGAATGTGTTATTATACACCTATCAATATATCCTTAGTTTTTCCCAAACTATGGCAAGATTGACATTTCCTGACAGCAAAGGAACGAATGTCAGAAGTTAAATAATTCTGCACTTGGTTATCATAAACTGAATTGCATGATTTTCTCTGTAATGAAATGTTTTCCCCCTTTCCTGTTTTTCTTCAGTTTTCTTTTTATATTAAAGCAATAAAATATTGCAAATAAATGCCTACCTTTCCAGCAATCTCCAAGGAAGCCAAAATAATTCCTATCAAGACTGAAAAATAGTGAGATGGATAGCAGTATATACATTTAATGAATAAAATAAAAACTATAAAAATTAAATGAGTAAACTTATGACATTTCTCACAGTGAACTTTTCACATAAAGGTGACAATTGTTAGCAGCTTCTTTCTTTGCCATGTGGTCATTGTACTTATTCTTTTAAACATATCACTGCACTCATCTTTTCTTATAATAATTTTTACTGATGAATAAGGGAAAAGTAGTTATTTCCATAATTCATGACATGAAAGCTTGATTAAAAATTGCACATGTTTTAATAGTAGAAACCTATTTCAAAAGCTATTTATTCCTTCAGTAGGCTTGGTATTAGATTGATATTTAAGACATGAGGTTGAAAAAAGATACAGATTAATAGATGACTGAAATGAGCAATATTAATTTACTATATATGTTTTCCTAAGGTATATAACGTTCTATATATGGTGAAGAAATAAGAATGGTACACTTATTTAATTGAGGAAATAAACTGTAATATTCAAAAAATCATTGTTGCTTTTTAGGAAAGAGAAATCAAGTTTTTGACTGCAGAAATAGATCATTTGAAAAACTATGGATGCTTGGGAGCTTCACCAACCTTGGAAGAATTGCGGGAAGAAAATGCAAAATTAAAATATCGCTTAAATATCCTACAAAAGGTATGATTTTGAAGTTTTTGGACAGCAAACATTGTGAATAAGGAACATAAGGAACAGATCTGAAAGAATCATTTTTATGAAAATCATGTGCATGTGTGCTTCTAAACTGCTGGATAGGTTTCCAAAACAAAAGGGACCACTGTGTCAAAGCTGAATAAATTCAAAATAGAAGACATTACATACAGAAATGGTTAGTGCACAGTAATAATATAGAAAATTATCTGAGGTGGGTTTTTTTGTTTAAAGTTAAGAAAGGGTTAATTAGATTGGTACAAAATTAAACACCATATCCAAAGCAAGAAAATGAAAGCAGAAAGGTTGTGGGAGAAGAATTACAGTGGAAAATAACTACAAGCAATTTTCTCTCGATATATAAAAAACCTACACACCCCTGTTAAAATGCCAGATTTTTGAGATGTAAAAAATCAGACCAAAATAAATCACTTCAAAAAATTTTTACGTTTCATATAACATATAAGCTGTACAATTCAATTGGAAAACAAAACTGAAAGCTTTTAGGGGAAAAATAACAATAAAACTATTATAATGTGTCGCATAAAGATGCACACCTTTAAACTGATACTTATTGGGCCATTTCAAAACTTTGATCATCTTCTGGTGAAGCCATTCTTTTGTTGATTTGGAGGTATGTTTTGGGTCATTATAGGCGAAATTCCTCTTCATCTTCAGCCTTTTAGCAGAGGCCTGAAGATGTTGCACCAAAATTGATCGATATTTGGAACTGTTCATAATTCTTTCCACCATGACTAAAGCCCTAGTTCCAGCTGAAGAAAAGCAGCCCCAGAGCATGATACTGCCACCTCTATGTTTTGTTGTGGTAGACTGTACGTTTGGGGATGCGCAGTGTTGTTTTTGTGCCAAATATACTTTTTGGAATTATGGCAAAAAGTTCAACCTTGGTCTCATTAGATCATAATACATTGGAGAGGCATCCAGTTCTTGATCATGTCACTCTTATGCCATATTTTTTCCACTTTAAGTTATGAATGTGTTCATTGTGTTCCATGGTACAATGCTTGGAAATTTTTTCTACCCTTCTGACTGATACCTTCCAGCAGTGAGATCCTTTAGATCAGGGAGTTGAAGTCCACAAGTCTTAAAGTTGCCAAGGTTGGACACCCCTGCTTTAGATACTTTCTAAGCTCTTTGCAGACCATGGCTTTTGCTATAAGAGGCAACTGAGTAAAAATCCTAATGGAACAGCTGAACTTTATATATGCTTGATCAGAGTCACTTCAATTGATGTTAAGTGTGTCCTGACTATTTTGAATGTGATTGGTTAATTCTGAACATAGCCACCCTAAGAGCCTATACACAGTTATGTAACCACATTATTCTATGGTGTTTTTTTTGTTATTTCCCCCACCCCCAGGATTTCTGGTTTTTGAATTGAATTGTACAGTTTATATGCTAGATTAAAGATAGAAAAATTTGAAGTTATTTATCTTGGTCTGATTTTTTTACATCTGAAAACCTGGTGTTTTAACAGGGGTATGTAGGTAGACTATCCACTATGTTGCTATTCTTGGAAATGCACTTACAGTGTAAGGGTTTTCCCAAATAAAAGGAGGACAGGTTGCATGTGTATGTACATGCACACACATACACACACAAATGGATAGAACCAGATAGGGACAAAGCATTCAAACCTATCAGTAGGTGTGACACATCGTGTAACAATGGAACTTTTTCATTTGTTATAATTCAGAAACATAAATATGTGTGTACATGACCATCTAATTTAAACAATTTGTGGAATTCTAATTTGAAAAGATGGGAAATGAATAAATATGACTTTCTTGTTATGTTTATAATTTGAAATTGCATTTTGAATTCTTAGCTCCATGTAATGATGTATTCTTATCTATTTGAATTAATTATTAAGTAATTTTATTTTGTATTCCTATTTAGAGCCTCCAGGAGGAAAGACATAGAGAAAAATCATTCAAAGGCATGATTAATATCAATCACAGGATTCAAGAAATTTTTAAGGCAGCTATCAAAGCTGCATATCCTGATTTAGAAAACCCACCATTGGCAGTAACACCAAGTCAACAGTCCAGGTTTGGTGATTACCAGTGTAACAGTGCTATGAGCATATCTCAGGTAATTGATAGTATGTGTACTTTTCATAGATCTTTACTGCTGCATCTCAAACAGATAAGATTATCACAACCTACTACCATGCTGTAATTTGAGTATCCAATTAGACAATTGATCTGCTTTTATTAGTTCTTTTTTGATAGACCTGCCATATATTATTAAGCCTTTGAATTGGGACAATAACTTGAAAAGGTGTAGTCATGTGAATAGCATGGTTTAGTGATATTATTTTGGACTTCAGGACTTCTCAAAATTTGGTTTGGTGATTACATAGCCAAAAAACAAATATTTCAGTGGAAACCGTCAAGCTGTTTGCTGTATTTATTTTAACTCTTCCTACATCTTTTTATGTGTGCAATTTAAAGCAGATAACTTAGTAATAATACATACTGAAAGGAAAGCAGAAGCGACAAAGGACAAGATTAGCAATTTAGCAATTTAAAAAAAATAAAAGTAGCATTAATAAAAATTAGGAGAGGCTTTTAGGCCAAAAGTTTTAAATGTTGTAGTGAAAGGTCAGCAAAGATGTGCAACACATCTTTCTGGGAATCGAGTTAAAGATCATATTTATTGTTCCAAATAAATGTGGATATGACTTCTATAAGAGGATTTATATGGATGATTTATTTATATAATATGTTTCTAAATAAACTTGCTTTTATCCCTTCCATTCTTGGTCTGAAAATTGTTAAACATATACATTTGAATGCAATAAATAGCAATATAAATTTTCACACGTATATGTATAATTTGTGCTATTGCTTTTGGGAGTAAATAATATTAGGCAAAAAGGAAAAAATATAAAGAGCAGTAAACCAAAGAAATTAAGACACAAGTTAAGAAAGAAAAAAGAAACATAAGTAAATGAAGTTTACACAAAGATCACCCACTATAAGGCAAAGACCCTTGCAAATCATGCTTGCCTTCAGACTCCCATATATCAAATTATTTTGTTCTTTTAACTTCTCATCTCTTTTAGAATGTCATAAATGCCATCCAGTCATTACTATTTTCTTAGTATTTTAAATTTTTCTTGTTAGTATTTCCTTTTTTTAATCCCATTAACTTTTTGTTCATTATTTTGTTTGGGATTTGATCACCACAAACAGTGATCTTTGATAAATTAATTTTTGTATCCATGCTTGTCCTTGCATCACAAAAATATGTTCAAATTTGCTGAAAACAACTCAGCTTCTTAGCTTTGTCAGCATACAAAAGTACATGCATACTCACAGTACTTACCAACATCACACCACAAGCATACATTGTAAATCCACAATTACACAACCAATGAGACATCACATCTCTCTCTCTTATTGCTCATTCTCACCTCTTTTATTCTTTGAAATAATATGAGAGGTTGCATCTTGAAATGCAAGAAGAATAAATGATGAACATGCATGGTTGCATGAATGAAAAGAAATATGTCTATGAAAGTGGAGAAAAATGAAAGGTATAATAGATTTGGGTAAAAGTAGTCCAGTCTTGTTAGATGAATATATGCAGGAAAGTGAAGATTTAGGTTTAATTATGAATGCAAGGGCCTAAACATATTGTATATAAGAAAATACACATAGAATAGAGTAGGAATAGAATATTCTTTATTGGCCAAGTGTTATTGGCCACCCAAGGAACTTGTCTCTGGTCACTAAGCTGTCAGTGTACACAAAAACAATAAAGTGATAAGTCATAGATCATAAATCATAGTTACAATCATAAATTATAAGATACAAACAAAAAGGATAAGTCATAAGATACTGATAGGAAAAGGTAGGAAAGATGAGGAAGGTGCGAAGATGGTAGCAGTATAGCCCTTCTACATCTTTAGGCATATAAGACAGTGGTGTGGGAGTTGTGTTTAGCAGAGTGATGGCATGGGAGAAAACTATCTTTGTGTCTAGTTGTTTTGACATGCAATGGCCTATAGCGGTGTCCTGAGGGGCGAAGTTGAAACAGTTTATGTCCAGGATGTGAGGAGTCTGTAGATGTTTTCTCAGCCATTTTCTCATATAACATACAGCTTTATCTAAGATTTTTATGTCATGTAAAAGAAGATGTTTGGAGATAGTTGCATATCAACACTCAAATGGTGATAATGAATTTAGAGATGAGTTCAGGAAAATGTATTCTAAATAAATATAATTAGGAGGAAAGCTACTCCGAACAAAATGACAGAATATAGGAATAGTGGGTCATTTAGAGATCCAAAAATAAGGAGAATTGTTATTTTTCAATGAAATAAATAATAAGATGACCTTTATTATCATTTTTTTCTGTGGGCACACTGGCAAACTAAAAATGAAATTCTGTTTTCTATTCTCCAAAGTGTACACATACATTATATATATATATATATATATATAGATATATAGATATATAGATATATAGATATATAGATATATAGATATATAGATATATAGATATATAGATATATGTGGATCTTTGGTTATTCGGGTTCTCTCCCGCGTAAGATTCAAAGTATCTAGGCAACGTTTCGGCGAGGTCTCACTCGCCATCTTCAGGCTGGTGCTTTCGGCTTAGTGCCAGTGCAAGCAGTGTGTGACCGGAGCTGCCATCTCTCT